ATATGACCTTATTATGTTGACGTATGTTCTCTCTATTCCCACTTTGCTGAGAGTTTTTATCATAAATGCATGCTGGATTTTGTTGAAAGCTTTTTCTGCATCTATTGGTATGATCATATAATTTTTATCTTTCAATTTGTTAATATAGTGTATCACATTAATTAATTTATGGATATTGTACCAATCTTGCATCCCAGGAATAAATCAAACTTGATCATGTGTGTAATATTTTTAATGTATTGCTGAATTCAGTTTGCTAATATTTTGTTGAGAATTTTTACATCAATGTTCATAAGAAATATCAGCCTACAGTTTTCTTTTTTTTTTTGTAATGTCTTTGTCTGGTTTTGGAATCAAGGTAATGGTGGCCTCATAAAAAGAATTAAAGAGCCTTCCCTTTTCTTGAATTTTTTGGAATAGTTTGAGAAGAATAGGTGTTAATTCTTCTTTGAATATTTGGTAAAATTCGCCTATGAAGCCATAGGATTGTTTTTTTGGAAGTTTTTTGATTACTGATCCAATTTTGTTGTTTGTAATCAGTTGGTTCAGATTTTCTGTTTCTTCTTAACTCAGACTTGGAAGATTGCATATTTCTAGGAATGTATTCATTTCTTTCAGATCGTCCAATTTGTTGGCATACAATTGTTCGTAGTATTTTCTTATAATCCTTTGTATTTCTGTGGAGTCTGTAGTTACTTCTCCTCTTTTATTTCTGATTTTATATTTTATATTTTTATATTTTGTGTCTTCTCTCGTTTTTTTCCTGATGATAAAGGTTTATCAATTTTGTTTATCCTTTCAAAGAACCAGCTCTTGGTTTCATTCATCTTTTGTATTGTTTTTCTAGACTTTATTTTGTTTATCTTTGCTCTGATCTTTATTATTTCCTTTCTTCTACTCACTTTGGATTTCAACTTATATTATGAAGCCAGCATAATCTTGATAGCAAAATCCAGAAAGGAAAATTTCAACTCAATTTCTCTCATGAATAAAGACTTGAAAGTACTAATTAAAATATGCACAAAATGATTCTAGTAGTATATGAAATCATGACCAACTTGGATCTATTCCAAGAATTCCAGGTTGGTTTAATATATTAAAATCAACATAAATATAATAAAGATGAAAAAATTATGTTATTCTAGTAGAAGCAGAAAAACATTCCATAACATCAATATTCATTGAGATAAAACAAAATCTCATTGCAGGCTATGAAGAGAAGAAAACTTTAATCTCATAGAGGATATCCACTAAAAATCAGTAATAAACATTCTAATTAATAATTAAATAGTGAAAACTTTCCTCCTAAAATTAGCATTGACAGATGTATGCTTACTCCTGCAACTTATATTTGATATTGTACTGGAGACCTTTTTTTTTTGCCATAAAGCATGATAAAAAATAAAAAAAGTGATAAGAATTGAAAAAGATTAATTCAGATAGTACTTATATATGTCATATGTGTATATACGTAAAACACAAAATAATGTTCAGATTGACTATTACAGTTAATAACTCAATGTAGTGATTTTGTAAAACTCAAGAACATTTCTATATTTTAGCAACAATTATCTCAAAAAAATTAAGTGATACCTTTTGTAATAATATTAAAAATTTTGATAACTAAAAATAAATGTCACACAACCTACCTTTATGAAAAAAATATAAAATATTACTGAGATATTAAATAAATCTGAAATGAATGAATATATCATGATTATTGATTAGAAGACTCAATATTATTATGACATCACTTCTGATGTGATCTATATATTCAGTGCAATCCCATTTAAATCTCAGCAGGCTTTTTTGGGAGGAAATTTGCAAGCTGAATCTACAAAGGGCCAAGCATAACTAGTCAAATGATCAAGTAGGCTTCATCCTAGGTGCACAGGGATAGTTCAACATATAAAATCAATTAAGGTGATACAACACAAAAACAAATTTAAAATAAGAATTATATGATCATATCAATAGATATAGAAAAAGCCTTCAACAAGATACAGCATTTATTTATGATCAAAACACTTAATAAAATCAATATTTGAGGAAAGTACTTTAATATAATAAAGGCTGTCAGGAACAAGGCAAGGCTCTCCACTATTGCCACTGTTATTCAATATAACACTGGAGGTCCTAGCGAGTACAAACAGGCAAGAGAAAGATATAAAAAGCATCCAAATAGGAAATGAAGAAATCAAACTGTTGCTATTTGCAGATGACTTGATTCTCTATGTCGAAAACCCTAAAGACTCCACAAGAACACTACTAGAAAGAACAGAAAATACAATAAAGTTTCTGGATACATAATCAATGTTCAAAATCCATAGCATTCCTGTACTCTAATAATGAATTGTCAGAAAAAGAAGTGGTAAAAATAATTTTTTCTGCAATTGCAACAAAAAGAATAAAATACCTAAAAATAAATCTAACGAAACACGTGAAAGTCCTATATAATGAAAACTATAAGACCTTATTAAAAGAAATTGAAGAAGATACAAAGAAAGGGAAAGATAGCCTGTGTTCTTGAATTGGAAGAACCAACATAGTTAAAATGACCATATTACCTAAAGGATTATACAGATTTAATGCAATCCCCTTCAAAATCCCATTGGCATTTTTTAAAGAAATAGAACAAAAAATCATCAGAATTTTATGGAAGCACAAAAGATCCAAATTGCCAAAGCCATCCTTAGAAAAAAGAACAAGGCTGGAGGCATCACTCTGCCTGACTTCAAATTATACTACAAAGCGACAATAATCAAAACAGCATGATATTGTCAGAAAAATAGACACACAAGCTATTGGAACAAAATCGAGAACCCAGAAATATACTCATATATATTGGCAAATAATTTTTGACAAAAGAGCCAAAAACATATAGTGGAGAAAGGAAAG